CTCGGTTTCCCCTCTCCGACGCCGGTATCGCCGACTGCCGCTAGGCCGTCACCGAGCGCTGCGATCCCGCACGGCGATCTTTCGCTAAAGAAAGTGGGGAGAGCCGTGCATATATACCACGTCGCGCCGCCCAAAGAGGCAGAATGCCTGGGCGAGCGACAGCTGTAAGAACGCTACTAACAATATAACACTATCTCGCCGCTCAAACGCTCTCATTTTCTCTCAGCCCTGTTCCCAACCCTCCAACGGAGTACGAACAGGACGGTGTGCGACCGCTACCTCAGTGTTCGCTCAAAACCCGTTCAGTCTAACGTCCTCACGCCGCCGGCCTCTGGACCGACACGGAGGACATCCGACCGCCGGTACCGTGTCCTGCGACCGCGGGACACCCCGGAGTCACGGTCTCTAGCCCGGGAAGAGTGGGTGTGCGACCGCTACCTGCTCGAACCCTTTGGGGCACCGTCACTTCCTTCCCGACCTCCCTGGGAGTAAACTGCCTGCGTCCAGGCTAAGCTCGAACGCGTACTCTGGCGATCGACTGAGTCGGCGCCCCGACCAGCGACGGTTCTACCGCACCGCACCGAGATCGAACCGTTACAAATTGGCGCCCGAACAGGGACCGCGTAATCGGACTGTATGCGTAAAGTAGGGTGGGTTTATACTTACCGCAAAGAAGGCTTAACTCGCTTTGCCGCCGAACACCACCTGGACACCGGCGGGACGCTAGCAGATCTCCGAACAAGAATAATTCACTACCTCCGAACCATGCCGCTCGACGAGGAGGAGAAAATGACATCCACTGCAGGGGGCCAGCCACCAACCCTCGGGCCCAGCACACCAACCGCCGAAACTCATCCGGCAACCGCCGACTTTGCGATGCTAGAGCTCCTACGAAAGAGTGGCCTCACTTATGACGGGGGAAAAGGCGCCGATGAATTCCTAGAACGCCTAGAAGCAGTACGAGCCGCGTACAACTTAACCCCCGGTACTCTATTACAAGGCCTTCCCTGCCTATTGAGAGGAATTGCTTTTCAGTGGTATCTCAACCACCGCCTCGAATGGGCCACCTGGGAGGACCTCGAGGAACTCTTCCAACAGGAGTACCTAACATACCGACACACAGGTGAGCTCCTCGGACAGATACAACGTCGCACCCAGCGACGCGGCGAATCCAGGAGAGAGTACCTAACAACGATGGAAACCCTACTGTGGCGGCTATACCAAGGAGGAGCAGCTATCCCAGTGCCATCGAAACCTAGCTCCCGCCTATCGTCAGTTTAGACGCCGGAGTTCTATCCACACTCGAGCCGATCTCGTAGCTGCTATCACCGAGTACGAAGACCTGCAGCGAGAATTGCGACCGGGCCCCACCCCCCGGACCCACGACCAAGCACACGCCTACGAAGTTAGCCCACTGGCTCCGCCCTGCCACAAACCCCGAAATGGCGAAAACCGACTGCCTACGCAGTCTTACGACCGAAGCACATGTTGCTGGCAATGTGGCCAACGAGGTCACCTCCGGCAAGACTGCCGTCGACCCGGACGACTGTTTTGCAGTTACTGCGGCACCTCTGGCCGTCGAACTCGCGACTGCCTATGTCATCCCGAAGAGGGAAACGACGACCTAGCCAGCGCTCAGGGCGCCGCTCGGCTAGGCCCAGCTCAAGCGCTCAACCCTAATGCACAAGCACCGACCAAAGGGTCTACATAAGATTCACTGCTTACGGGCTTCACTACCCCGCACTGGTCGACACCGGAGCCACGCGCTCCTACGTCCGGAGCGACGTGGCGGACCACTGCAGACAACTCGGCGACTCCTGGAACGCGGCGACATGTGCGGTCCGAGTAGCAGATGGAAGCCATACTATCACGGACGGAGAGATCGTTATCCAGTCCACGATCCAAGGAAGACGCATCTGCCATCGGTACGTCATTCTCCCAACCATGAGTCACCCTATCCTCCTCGGAGTCGACCTTCTGGGTCAGCTGGGCACCACTGTACAAATCGCGGACACCCGGTGGACATTCCCCGGCATCGACGAGGTCATGGAGACCACCGGCCTGAGGGACTATACGCAAGACCAGAAACAATCCCTGTTACGACTCTTGGAGGAAAAACTCCCCCAGTTCCGCCATTTGGCTCCAACCACCACGTGGATTCAGCATCGCATCCGGCTGAAGGAAGGCGCCGAACCCTCCAAACAACGGTACACCCCCCGCAACCAGGCCATGCAGGCCATCATTGACCAGGAGGTCGACCAAATGCTCGCCACGGGAATTATCGAACCATCCATCAGTCCGCGGAGTTCGCCAGTGGTCCTGGTCCGCAAGAAAACCGGCCGCTACCGATTCTGCATCGACTTCCGACAAGTAAACCAGCGCACGATAAAAGATGCATATCCCTTACCCCAGGTCCAGGCCACTTTAGAAAAACTCCGCGGGGCTCGATATATTTCCACCCTGGATCTGACGAACGGGTACTGGCAGGTACCTCTGGACGAAGCCAGCAAACCGATCACCGCGTTCACCGTACCGGGAAGAGGCTTCTACCAGTTCCGAGTCATGCCATTTGGGCTCCACTCCGCTCCGGCCACGTTCCAGCGGTTACTAGATGACGTCATTGGCCCCAAGTTGGCTCCCCGGAGCTTTGCCTACTTGGACGACATCATAGTTCTGGGGAGCACTTTCCCCGAGCACCTCGCAAATCTCCGAGAAGTATTCCAACGACTAAGGGCCACCAACCTCAGCATAAACCCAGAGAAGTGCCGGTTCGGGTGTAAGGAACTAATCTACTTGGGCCACTTAGTCACCGACCAAGGTATTAGAACCGACCCTGGCAAGGTCCGCGCCATCCACGGGATACCAGCTCCCGCCTCACTCAAGGAACTCCGCCGGTTCCTCGGGATGGTGTCCTGGTACCGACGGTTCATACCGCGATTTGCTGACCTTGCTGTCCCGTTGCACCAACTTCTTCAGAAACGGCGACGCTGGACCTGGACCACGGAGACCAAAGGAGCCTTCTAGAAACTCCGACGACAGCTCGCCACCGCGCCCATCCTGGCCTGCCCGGATTTCTCAAAACCGTTTATATTACAAACGGATGCCAGCAGCTGCGGGGTGGGAGCCGTCCTCACGCAGGAGCAGGAGGGGAAGGAACGAGTCATCGTATACGCCAGCCGTACCTTAAACCCAGCGGAGCGCAATTACTCGGCCACCGAGAGGGAATGCCTCGCCGTCGTCTGGGGCATCCAGAAGATGCGCCCATACCTGGAGGGATACCATTTCACCGTCATCACCGACCACCAAGCGCTGAAATGGCTCCAGGCTTTAGACAATCCGTCGGGCCGCCTGGCTCGTTGGAGCCTGGAACTGCAGCACTACGATTTCGAGATCCAGTACCGGAAAGGAGCGTGGAACTTCGTGACCGACGCCCTCTCCCGTCAGCCCGAGGGGCCCCCAGACGACGCCGAGGCCATCGAGCCCCCAATGCGGATCTCTGGTACGAGCGCACCACCAAAGCTGTCAGCGAACGCCCGGACGACCACCCGAACTACCGAATACAGGAAGGACGCCTCTACCGCCGTTTTCCTGATACCACGGGCCTCCACCCCGACCTGGAGTGGAAGCTCTGCGTCCGGAAGGACGACCGAATCCAAACGCTGCGGGACCATCATGACGCCCCAACCGCCGGACATCTCGGCATCAGTAAAACGAATGCCCGCCTGGCACAGAGGCACTACTGGCCGGGAATGTTTCACGACAGCGCGCGATACGTAGGCCAGTGCCAAACATGCAACGAGTACAAAGTCCTGCAGCGGCCACCCGCCGGGGAAATGCACACCACACCAGCCGCGCAGCTATGGGACGTCGTCTCAGTTGACTTGATGGGACCATTACCTCGATCCACCAAGGGCCATACCACGCTGCTGGTTATGCAAGACAAGTTCTCCAAGTGGATCGAACTCCAACCACTCCGACAGGCGACCGCACTAGCAGTCGCCCGATCGTTCCGAGAACGAATCGCCCTCCGATACGGAGCGCCACGACTGGTAATCAGCGACAACGGACGCCAGTTCGAAAGCCGGGAATTCATGGGCCTGCTGAAGGAGTACGGGATCGAGCACCGTCAAACACCCCCGTACACCCCACAGTGTAATCCCGTGGAACGGACCAATAGGGTCCTCAAAACCATGATCGCACAGTACACCGGAAACGATCATCGGACGTGGGATGTCTGGCTACCTGAACTAGCGTTCGCCTATAACACCGCCCAGCACGACGCCACCGGTATCACGCCAGCCTACCTGAACTTTGGCAGAGAACCGGCGGTACCACGAAGCCAAAACCAATTCGACCCACCGACCGACCCTTCAACCCACCAGGAAGCAATCGCTCGACTCCAGGACGCGATCAGCCTCGCCACTCGCTCCCTAGCCGCGGCTAGTGCTTGACAGGAGCGCCACTATAACATGCATCGACGGAAGTGGCAACCCCGAGTCGGAGACATGGTAATGTACCGGATACGCGCGCTCGCTTCGGCCAGTACGCACTTTAATGCGAAACTGGCGCCTAAATACGCCGGCCCATGTCGTGTAATACGACAGCTTGGCCCAACGGTAGTCGCTCTCCAGGGGCCGGGCCACCGCACGCTACGCACGCACATACAGGATCTAAGCCGATCCACGAGACAGGTAATACCAACCACCACCAGATGGCTCCAACCGGGACGATGTCTCTCACAGTCAAAACAGCGGCCGCAACACATAAGACCACGGCCACGACACATGGAGCTCAATGCAAACCAAATTCCAGTAACGATGCGACGAAACCGAGTGACGCACAAACCAAAGCCCGGGGTACTCCCTCCCGGAACCTCGGACCCCACACCACTGGGGAGAGCGACGACCCACCGGCCGCCCGAGTCCAGACCGCGTATCCGAGCCGTGGAGACGCTCGGGTACTTCACGTGGCCTCCAATCCGTCGCGGGCTACCACCAAAAATGCGGCCCCCTCCGAAGACACGGCCCGTCACCGCCGAGGCGCTGGTCGTGGAAACCCTCGGGGAACCCAGGAGGGTACCCCCGACTCCTCCAGCGGCGACGACGACCAGCGTCATCTCCACCACCGAGGTCAGCCGGCTGTTGGACCGAGCGGCAGCACCACTGGCCCTGCCAGCACCGGTCCACCTTCCTCCGGCACGACGACCAGAGCCACCAATCCGGGCACAACCCCCGCCGCCCACCGGACGACACCCAACGTCCACGCCGCGGTCGCCCGCCGCCGATACGTGTGGCCCAAGGACCACGGGGCCGGCGAGTATACGGTCAACTTGCGACACCTCACTCGCCGGTACCCCGTGAAGTTGACCGGCCCCGACGGACGGCTCAACGATCAGACGGGTCAACAACGAGATCTCTTCTCTCAGCCCTGTTCCCAACCCTCCAACGGAGTACGAACAGGACGGTGTGCGACCGCTACCTCAGTGTTCGCTCAAAACCCGTTCAGTCTAACGTCCTCACGCCGCCGGCCTCTGGACCGACACGGAGGACATCCGACCGCCGGTACCGTGTCCTGCGACCGCGGGACACCCCGGAGTCACGGTCTCTAGCCCGGGAAGAGTGGGTGTGCGACCGCTACCTGCTCGAACCCTTTGGGGCACCGTCACTTCCTTCCCGACCTCCCTGGGAGTAAACTGCCTGCGTCCAGGCTAAGCTCGAACGCGTACTCTGGCGATCGACTGAGTCGGCGTCCCGACCAGCGACGGTTCTACCGCACCGCACCGAGATCGAACCGTTACAAACCATAAAACTCTTTTAGCGACCTAAAAATGCTTGGATTCTACAGGTGTATCTTATCATATGCTCTACTTTGGACGCTCATATTATTAGATATTTACAAGATCCCGTTGAATCATGACCAGAGCGTACTGTATTGAACCTTTCTCTTTCGAATGAGTTCTCACCTAACCTCAAATATTCTTATATAAGGACGAAAACCGAAAAGTACCGGACCCTTTTTTACGCTCATTTTTGCCGGTAATGTCACCTCGCTACGTTACCCATATCTTGCCCTTAAAAGTGGTAGTTTTATTTATATTAGATGAATATGTATATTTATTTATTTCTATTGGTACATAGAGACTGTTGGTACTCTATTTCTAGATTGTTACAGTGAAACAAAAAAATTCTAAGGTAAAAGTCAAGGATAGGGTTAGAGGCAAATTTATGTCTGGATTTCTTCCACCACTGAAATAAGAGCTACTCTAATGTATATCTATGGCAATGTTTTTTTCTGGAAATAAATAATAATAATAATAGTAATAATTCAGTGAATACTGATTATGTTAACGAGATATTATATTATATGTTATCGCAGGAGTATGCGGCAACTACGATGAGTGAACTATTGGGGTGGTATGGCTATGACAAAGTGGATAGTGGTTGTACAAGGAGTTTAAACTTGGATCATTTCACATCCACGTCTGACGTGAGAAGTAGTAAAATACTTAAAATGGATCAAAATTTTATTTCAAACAAGCAAGCATCGAAGTCTCCGATATCGTTAAACGAAAATAATTCGTCTTTCGATACGTCCAATTCGCCGTTGCCATATTCTGTAAACAGTACAAGTATCATAAATAGACAATCAACATCACCTCCATTACCGATGAGTAAAGTATCGCCTGATTCTACATCGAGATTTCCTTATGAAAATTACCCAAATTCTATTTGTTCAGGTAAGTTAATGAACAATTACTATTATATAGAGAGTAGTTATTATTACATATATATAACCAGAGTTTCCCTCTTAATTAAATAAATTATAAAGGTTCTGTTACAATTCATCTTCTTCATAATTGAATATTTTCGTATTTATTATAGATAGTATATGTTGTTCCTGGTGTGGTCGAGTTACTAAAACATGTAAATCGGATAGAGGCAACCATCTTTCCTATAAAATGATACATACTATGGGACATTTTTGTAGCGAAGCTTGTTTTGCAGCTGGTAGAAGAGCAGATTGGTGTAGGCACATAAGAAATCCAGTTAGTTATGTTGATTTTCAGGTATATGGATATGCATGTTTATTTATTCCTCTTATGGTTATAATTGTATAGTCCCTCTCTTCCTACAATTTCTTTCCCTTCTTTCTCTTTCTACAATTTCTTTTTTTAAGGGGGGGGGGGAGCATCTTGGACGCGTGAAAATCGCCGCTATATACATCAATTTTTTTGTAAAAAA